AATCGCAATTTCTGACTTCTGATTGAGCAATAAATAACAGTTAAAATGCACCAGAATGCAGTATTATACATACAGTTTTTAAAATTTTTCCACACCGTGGGACACCCCCTCCCACAACCTCCCCACTCAGGGGGCTTTGCCCCCTCGAGTCCGCTTACTGCCCCCCCTGGTATTTTGCTCAGGCTACGGCCCTGAAGTAACTAGTAGAAGCGGTTTATAAATATGCGTTACTGGGAATGCACGCTTGGTTCAAATGTATGTCTGATTAAAATTCCCTTCAAAATGGTTACACTCTCCTGGACATTTGGTTTTAACACCATGTAAAGCTAGACTTATTACAAATGGTGAAGATTCTTATAAAGGTGCTGCACCAAAGGAATGGAATTTACTTCCACTTTTACTACACAGGATAGCCCATCTGGACAATTTTAAAAGGGAGTTCAAGACATCTTTTTATGAATACATTTTTTATTAATAACTTTTAAAAGGAATTTGTTGAATTAACCCCTATTATTCTATATTATTTAAACAATTTGTTTAAAACAATTTTTTTCTTTTCTTTTACTAGGCTTTCATAAATTCTTTATTCACATTGCATTGTAAAGTCTACCGAACAGATTGGATTTCAGACTCTTAATAATAATAATGATAATAATAATAATGTTTCGACGGCTTGTTAAAAATAATTTTTCAGAAAGACCTTTTGATCTGGATAATGTTGAAAACTAAAGAGGTAATTGAATATAACCAGTAAATAAGTAAATATATGGATCTACTTATATAAAGGAATTATCACTTTGTCGTCTTACCTAGATTCGGGTTTAGATACACCCAGCCACTGTCAGCAACGGGAACCGTCCCAACGTCATCGTGGATCGTCTTGTCATTCATTTCACAAACACTACTCTCCTTATGGTAGTTTGCAGACAGGCATTTCGCAGGTCCTAGGTTTAGACAGACGAAGGCGCAATGTAATTTTGATTCTACGTGATAAGCCGGCGGCGGCGCACCACTGAAAGAGCCGTTGGCCAATCTGAAACCATCTTCTTTTTGAAAAAGCAGTTGTTGTAAAGCAATGCAAGGTGCTGGATTTATCACAGCAAAAAGAAAAAGCGTTGTGTCATACAGTGCCTGCAGATTCATTTTGTGAAGTAATACAAACTAAAATGTTCTATATCGCCTAGTCAAATGCAAAGTTCTAATGATTTTGAAACGCGTCCACTTTCTTCTGTATCTCCGTTGATAATAGTAACATAGACCATATAAAAAACGTGGTCATTTGACAAAAAACGTTTGATAATGAATTGTATCCCGGTAAAATGCATTAATTATTTCTGATCGGATAGTAATGGCGTGACTAAAAGCAATGTGTACAGACACCGATGAAGGTAATTAAATATATAAAAATTTCATATCTCTGTTGTAGTAATTATTTGTAAATGTCATTAGAGTGGCAAACTGAAATTTGCCAACAAGACAGCAGAAATTACGATGTTTTAATGTGTACCTTACAATTAAACCCATGTTCCACCACTGCCTTTCGACCACTACTGTCTCCATTTTATTTAAAACTACCCTCGACCAAAAAAGTTACGAATGGTGGGTGCATCATCCATCAATATTTGGTTTAAAAAATGTACTGTATCTCATATGATTATTTTGTAATTATTCTAAATAACGATGTTTCTGAACTTTTTGGTCGAGTGTAGACAAACTAAAGGCCCCGGACCCAGGAGAGAGAGTGTGTGTGTGTGTGTGTGTGTGTGTGTGTGTGTGGGGGGGGGGGGGGGGAGCATGCATGCACGATTCTGAACCACGTTTACAACTTGCTACACTTCATTAAACACGTTCATAACGTCAAGCCCATTGTCTTCAAGTTGTCTCTTTGTTCTTTATCAAACGGCACTTTTGAAAACATCGTACACGAAGCTTTCTCGGTAAAAAGTCCACTTTTTGGAAAAAACATCTTTGAAATTATTGGCTTTGAGCCTGCAATCTGAAGTTACTTTAATAAATGCACAATTGGCATGGTGTTGGTGGGGGTGGGGGGTTACACACGGTGTGCCTGTACATAAAAATTGGTGTCGTCCTTTAGGAAGAGCTCTATACCAGTAATCCAAATATTGACCAGAAAAATGACAAAAAGACACTTAAACATGTAATACCATTGATAATAACTTTATTAGACCAAAAGTGTCCAGGACGGGGGCCTCTGTACATTTTGTTTCATTTATAACATGCAGGCATTGAAAGATTTTCATAATGATAAAATCACTGGTGGATGCCTAATGGCAGAGACGTGATAACATAAATACTAAATCCTTATCTATAAAATAGTACAAACATTTAAATTATAAAGAAATCAACAAAATGTGTCAAATGCAAGGTTCGACCAGTTCAAATGAAAAATTATGGTCCAAGTTCCCTTGAAATATCTTATAGTAGTTTGTTTTTTTTTAAACTTTCAGTAAGTTTTGTGCTGATTTGCAAGCCTTGACCTCCACTGTGTTCTTAGTGCATTTCTGAATTTAAAAGATATACTAAAATATAATTACATTAAAACAAATATCTGATTCACTTCTATTATCCCTTGCCCATTTTATACATAAATCAATAATATTATAACTACACTTAAATGTAAATTAAAAATCCTAATTTATGCTTGTATCTTATTTGAGTAAACATAATTTGTATGTGCTGCCTTTATTAATAAAGTTTACATTTACATAAAATTAAACCAGAAAGAAAAAATAAAATAAAAAAGACAACCACCTTGGTAAGGTCGAATAGGAGTGGATTTTAATTATAAATGAATTTATTAGTTGAACTTTTGCTTAAGGGCAGGACTTTGCAACAACCGCTTGTATCACATTAACCATTGAGTAATAGTGAAGGATGAGAAGAGAGGAAGCTGATTAAATGAAAATCTGGACCTCTCCCATAATCAATCTGGACATAACCCCATTCTAAACATTGCATTTTCAGCTCCCTTTTCTATTTAAAAAAAGGAGAGAAAATGCCATCCATGTATTGTGAGTAATATCTGGGCATTAACGACTGTCCCCTGTTAACAATACCATATGTCATTAAAATGAATAAATAAAATAATACCAGTATGTGACTTTCTACAACAGTTTAAAGTGTATCTCATGACATGCTAAATAATTCACTGCAAGTTTTTTTCACTGTATATATTGGGGATTACCCTTTTCCTTAGAAAAAAAAAAGATGGGAAGAATGAACCCAAATGAATTGATATGGTCTTGACATAAAAAAAAAATACTGAGTGGACTACATATTGATCAATATTACTTCATGATTGTATAATAACCCCTCGATTGTACTAACAACTGACAAAATGGACAGAAAATGCCTCCCTCACCAAATATCCCAATTTCCACCACTATAAATGAATGAAATCTAATGCTAACATTTCACATTGCTCTGGTAATGGCATATCATGATTTAAAATTTTTCTAAAACATTTGACCTTAAATCTCTCCCTTATCAACTGTAATTCTGTGTTTTTATGCATACAAGAACAAGAGGATAAATCTGTTCATAATCACTTTCATGTAACAATTAATAATTCGTGAAATTATCATCAATTCTTTACTCGCTATTTTACAGGCATGAGGACTGACACTTAACGCAAGTTTCACATTTGCTTTGATGACCTCACTTTCCTGCATGAATAGTCTGCAAGTTATTGCACCAAATCTATCTAAAATATTCCATAAATAATACTGTTAAATACTTCTTGAAACTCTAACACTGAGGTGCCTTATTTGGCGAACTGACACGTGTTGATGGACTAGTCCCATATGTTTACTACACGAAGTGTAAAAACAGTTTCACTGGTACTAAAACATACTTCGTAATTGCCCCTGGGGTTATTTGAAAATAAATAAATACACTGTCGTGATGTAAACTTATCTTTATCTTAAAAAGAAATTTTATCTATAAATCCGCTGCAAATTTACCACTGACAAACTACTCAAAGTGAAAAAAAAATGAAAAAATAAATTGCTACACATAAATTTGGTGGGAACTCGAAGCATATCATTATTTGTGTAGCAAATTATTGCTAAACACCATCTGTATCAATGACCTATATTATGATGACACTGCAAAACAACAATCTAAACCAGCTAAAAATTAAGTGATGACCATATTTGGACTGTTGCTTTCAGCTAGTTACCATAGCAACCAGCCAGGTTAGCCCAACAACCAGTCTCTCTGCAAGTGAGATAATCATGAAAACTGACCATCACTTTGTCTACTATTTACAAGTTTTTTTATTTGCATCACTGTGCAGCTGAGTTTGGCTTGGCGGTTTCCAGTGTTGTAACCATGGTAACCATTTCAGCAGGATCCCCACAAACTTTGGCAATGATTCTACAAAGATATTTTATTTTCTTTGCAGCAAATGGCATACATAATCTTTTTCTCTCATCTACTGTAAAATTCATATGTATACATGATTATATTAAAACAGTTCCTCTGACAGCAAAATAATGTTTGCAGAAAGACCACAAACTACATACATTTTATATACCACTTATGTACCACTTTCACAATTGTAACATATATGGTATGACTGAGTTGTACAAGACTAGATAGTCTGCATTAAAACCTATAGGCTTTTAGAAATTCTTCATAATCAGGGTCCTATTTTGTTTTAAAATAAGCCCTTCTTTGGATGTTGTTGCTGATTTTCAACCACAATCCCTTTAATAAACAGTTTCGGCACTAAGGTGTGGTTGAAACTGACCTTGACCTTAGTATGACCTTGACCCCCATCACATAAATAGACTGATATTGTGATAAAGTGTCGACTGAGACAAGATTTCTTCAAAGAAAATATTCATTCCTTTTCACTAGTCTACTAAGAGTATAGAAACAAGGATTGCCATAACTACAGCCATGTTGCTTGGTGACTGTTGCCAGGGTTACACCACCAGGTTATGCCACCAGGCCCAGTCTACTGACTTTTGAAGACAAGAATGTGTGAAGGATAAAAACCAAAGGTTTGGGACAGCTCTGTAGATCCAGCTCCTGAAGAACAAAATTAACTATTTTTATCTGATTACACTTTATTTTGTACCATGTCAGATCAGAAAAACAGAAGATCTAGTCGTGGTGTAGCTTGCACACACACATGTCACACACAAGTACATGTTCCACCGCACCTGCGCCTTTTGTTCTCCACAAAGTATAAACCACATACACAACTTGTAAGTAGGGTATATCTCTTTTACACATTCTTAAAATACAATCTTTACAGAATGTTTTTCAACCGATTTTTTCTTGGTTTCAAACTACAGACAGCACATTATTGCCACCTTTACATTGAGAAAAAGCTTTAAAAGTGAAAAAAGATATTCAAAACACCTTCACCTAAATATCTGGAAAAAATGCAAGTCTCTAAAAAGATGAAAAAAAAAAAAAAGATATATGCACCTGTTCACCTCCATCTCCAAAGTCCAACCACAACAAGCGATGACCATCATCTGCGGACATGCGCAGCTTCTCAAACGGTTGATGCCACAGAAGGTTGGGTTTGTTGCTGTCGTTCTCTGTGTTGGCCGAGTATAACATGAACCCGGAGTCGTAATGCATGTTCAGCTTGCATTCCTGTCTCTGCCAAACCACGGCTGGGGGAAAAAAAAGAAAACTGTAAATAAATAAATTTTGTTATTTGTCTTTTTTTCTGATTACAAGCAAAAAGAACCAGTTTGGTTCTTGGTGGTCCTGGACAGGTGGTGCTGTAATTAAAACAGTCTATTTTACCTGGAAGATACTGGTAGACCTTGTTTGTGCATGTATGAATGCACGCGAGTGAGTTTACAATAAAACTATGAGAAAGGGGGAGTAGGGTGGATGGAAAAAGGGCATAGAAAAACGGTGAATTATCAAATGAGGGAAAGAGATCATGATTAGTCATTAGTGTGTGTGTGTGTGTGTGTACCAGACAGAGAATGAAAGAGAGAGAAGAAATGGGAGTGACTGAAAGCATTCAAATGAAAGTGGAAAGGAGAGTAGAAGCATTTAGTGTGTCTGTGTGTATGAGACAGAGATCATATAATCAAAAGACATCAGTAAGGAGAGTGCAGAAGTACATGTAGTTAGCTGTTCTCCCTTTATCAAGCACCACAGAGTAATAGTATACACCAGAAACCTGTCAGTCTTCATCAACTGGCTTCCTCTCAGTTCAGACCTGCTGTTCACAGGTGTTCCTCAGGTAATACAGATCAATAAACATCCCTTGTGTTCTAACCCAGGCCTCTATTACCACCTTGCTGGAAGCATGCTGAGAAACACGAACAGTTTCCAAATTTCTGAAGTGATCACAGCCCTCTTGCTGTGTCTATGAAAACTACTGGCCTTGAATTATGGTGGCAAAATGTTAGCTCCCTAACCACAAGTTTACTACTGGAGTGTTTTACAGTCTGTGTCATGAACATTTCTGCTTACTGGCCATTTGGACCACCAGTTTCCTCAAATCTACAGGTCCCAATAATATATTTAAGACTGGTCATCCCCCCTACCCCCTCCATTTAAATAATATAAATATTACAATACCTTGATTTTGTCATAAGTTTTTTTATTTTAATTTAGAATTATCATGTACCAGTTACATAACACATACATACATACATACAAACATACATATATACATACATACATACATATTTGAAAGCTCTTTTTGAAAACTTGTAGGAAAACTGTTAATGGCCATGTCACACTACAAAATCCACACATTCTGAAAAATCTGCTGGTCTGAACAAAATGTTACTGCAGGTGTAGGACCACTGGCTGCAGACACAGACTGCTCTCACCTTACCAAGTTTGAAAAAACATTTCACCTATCCTTCAGTACAATTATATACACCTTTTAATGAATTCTCCACTATACATAATTCATACGGGATCGATGCTAATTTCACTTTTTAATTCTATTTAATCATCCATTAATTCTTTTTTTCTATTTTTTTTGGGGGGTGGGGGGGGGGTGGAGGAGCAGAATTCCAGATTACATGTTCTCAGATTAAGGTCAACGTTTTGTTGGCACTGCCTTATTTTGTTTCTACCTTCAGTCATCAATCAAGGAATAATTAAACAGAAGCGTGAGCCGAGCTGGTGCAGTAGCTGGAAAGGTTAATCACCAGTGTCCCTAGAGAAAGATTAAGTATCCTAACAGACCTGGCTGTGGCAAAACAACTAGTCTGCCATTGCTAAGCAGACGCAAGTAACATGTCTTGCAAGTCTGAAAACTTCTGGGAACCTGATAAGTAAAAAAATAAATGAAAGAACTTAACATACAGGCCTGTAGCCAGGGGGGTTTGGGGGGGGGGGGTTGAAAGAATCGCCCCTTTTGCCAGGAAAAGGTTCATTCTGGGTAAATTTTGATCTACGTACACAAAGGTTTCATTGGAAAAGGTCCAATTTTTCAGAAAAAGAACCCCCCTTTTGAAATTGTTGGCCATGGGCCTGAGATAGCTTCTATCTTATCAGTTGTCCCATCAAACAATGTGGGTGAAAGACCCATAAAAATTTTGTGTGTTCACCAAAATTTGGGAGTGCACACCAACTCCATCGACTAAATCTAAAGCAGGCTTTAACCTTTCCTACAAATGGGATTACACTTCATTTTGTAAGTAATAGACCTCACAGAACAACTAATCAAACAAGATTGGAAAAGATCTCCCAGTATTCCCCAGTTGTTTCAGCCCACACTGCTGTTAAAAAATAAGAATAAAGAATATGCATCGGTGGTATATATGTGGGCAGACTGTGATGAAGAAGGCATTATGAGGAGATCAACTGGGGGAGGGGGTGGGGTGTGGGTAATTGAACTGATTGTATTATGTACCCTGGGTTCCAATTGCCCACAAAGGTAAAACCATCTACTTATTTGTTTCTTACTTGGAAAGGTCAGTTGTGAAAATGGTTTCATTGGATCTTAGTTTTGATAGTAAGAAAGTTTTCATTTATGACAGATCCACCTAAACAGGTAATCAGATGTGATCAAGTCTGTCAGAGTGAACAGACCAAACAGTCAACAGGTAAATCAAATATCTGGATCTATCATAAATGAAAACTTTCTGACCACTGAAATGGCCAGGTTTTTTTTTAGTTGAAGGGTATATATGAAAATGAGATCACCTTTAGCTGGAATGAAGTATTATGGGAAAACAGTCATTTTGATCTGAGATCATAATTTGATTGTCACAGAAATGGTGATTATGTACAATATAAAAGGAATTTAATATTAATAATAGACAAAATTAAGAATAACACTATTATTAACACAAAAGGTTGTGTACAAACTATAACAGCATTGTTTCTATTCTTGGAACAAATTTCAACATATTTGCCAGGATTAGGTCTCGTTCTGAAAATTCTGATTATTTAACTGGAGTTAACTACAGAAGTGATCTACAGTTTTTTCTTTCTCTAAAAAATGAGGGGAAAAAACCCTGCAACCTTAGCGCATGCAATTCAGTTCACCAACATAAATAAACAGTCTCCAGAAATGCGCATCCAATCTACCAGACGATACAAAAATAAAACAAAACAACAACTCCATCATCACCAGATGTCATCCATTTTCATTTCTTTCAAAACTTACAAAGAAAATTACATCAGTAATTTCTCTCGTTCTGCTGTCAATGTTAAATATAGCTTGGTAATGTTTCTTGTTAAAGGTGTAGTAGCCTAGATGTATTAAGCAATCAGCTCTTTCCAGTCCCGTCTTCACCCGGGGCTAGTGATATCTAAGCACACGTGGTAACTTAATGGGTAGCAGTAAAGTAATTGAAAATGCGTGTTTTCACACAATGATTTGATAAGGGTAACACATACATTTTTTTGTTCTGGCTATGAAAAACTCTGCCTGTAAATATCCAAGTCCCACATTTCATTCTAGAATAATGAAAACTTAACATCTTTTCACCTTTTCAAAATCTCTCTTCAGTTTAATTTCAACTTCTAAATCTTTTTCAAATTTTAAACTATGCTGTTCATTTTCATAAATCTTCCAGTATATTTTTGCCCAGATTTCATATCTGAATACCCTTTATCTTCAGCTAAACAAAACTGAATTTCTAATTTATAGACATTCTTTATGCAAGAACCTACATGAAGAAACCATCCCAAGTTTTGGAAACTCATCTCTCTACTAGCCGCATGTCTTTACTGTGTCCAGTATACACAGAGGTCAGCTGATAGTAAGACCCCATTCCCATACCTAGATCAATCTAGCAGGATCGACTTATCTCCAAGGGGTTTCCTGCTAAATTGCATGCAGCTCAAGCGGCCCTGATATCTAGCATGTCTACTTCAGTAATTAACTATCGTTTAACAGCTTCAGTAGGCGTGCCAGACATCAGAGCTGCTTGAGCTGAGTGCAATTTAGCAAGAAACCCCTCAGAGTTGGGTCAATCTTGCTAGATCAAACTAGGTATGGGAATGGGTTCTAAGAACATCTGAACTGCAGGGCATAAGAAAAAAACCTGCTGAAGAGAATAATCAGTAGATTTCGGTAATGGCATATTAAAAACACCCATTAGGCCTTCAGTGACAAACTAGCAAACTAATACACTAATGTGGATAAAGGCATCATATTCATATTTGAAATGCATGGTTGTGTGTTAAAGTGGCCCTCTAATCCCATTAATGCTATGCTGTCCATTATGATTTGTCACCTGCAGTTTTCATGATTGTCTCCTGTCACCAGATAGGGTTGACGAGATCTGCTACAGGCCTGGTGTCCACTGATAGACACCTGGTCTGCTGCGATAAAACAATGATCCGTCAATCAAAATGCTTCGAGAGCACAGGCAGTCCAATGAAGAATTTCTTTTCAAAATTACTGGTTTCCATAGGACCATTTTAATTTCTCGATTTTTAGCCGAAAAATATACTGATAAGTATACTGGTAGTGTGAAAAAATTGAAAAAAAAAGTTATTATCAGTCATAAAATGAATCTTTCCATCTGCAGTTTAGGCTTTGTCAACCCATCTGCCCATGGTAGTTTGTTTGTGACCCACTAGATGGCAGCAGCCTCACCAGGTGATTTAAAATTGGTTAAAAAACCTACAGGACTATTGGCCTCTCTCTCTCTCAAAATGAAGGAAAACTTGTAGATGGCAGGTCAGACTGGTAAGTCTTTGGGCTTATGTTTACAAAAAATACAGTTATACAGATGGTTATACTTGATCAAACATAATACTAGTATATCTATTTCATGAAGCACCAAGTTATAATTTCCATCTATAGTGCACTCATCAGTCATTCCCTAACACAGCTAATCTTCTCCACTTTCATTAGCTCTTTGAGAAACATTCTCTACATAATATTGTTATGTCAAAGATAGTGGCATTTGCCATCAACTAAAACAGAAAATTTCTCGTTTTTGAGCCAAGAAATGAAATAGCTTCTTGGCAAGGTAATGTTTTAACAAGACATCAATTTTCTTTTTACTTCAGAGGTTTTCTATGAAACTGAGAATTTTTGCCAAGATGGAGTTAATAAGCCTATCACGGTCCTTTTGATAGATGTGGCTGACATTTAACAACTGATTTTTGTACTTTAATTTAGATTCAGAACAATCATCATGCTTTACAATTTTTTCCACTTATCAGAAACCAT